CTGCACTAAGTTCATAGTCCTGTATTGAAAACTCACACTGGGTAGCAAGAAGCAACAGGTAGAAAATATAAGATCCTATTTTAATCAAAAGGCCAATAAAGAAATAGAATTAGCTTTATTAGTAATCAGAGAAATTAAAATTAAAACTTCACTGAGATGGTATGTTTATACTTGCTAAATTGGTCAAAATTAAGAAGTCTGACCAAAGCAAGTATGGGTAAACATGAGAATCAGTAGGAATATTCATATACTGCTGGTCTGTTGGTGGTAGATCAATTGATCCCTCCTACCTTAGGAAACAATTTAACACTGTTTAAGGATACTTACATATGTAAAAGAACTGCACTTTTTTTTTAAAACAAGGGAATTATGAATGTACAATCCAGACTAGTCGCTATATCTGAGAGCAAGGCAGGGGATGGCATAAAAAAGGAACAAAGATTGAAAAATCTTGGGGTTTGATCTAGTTAAGTTGGGTGGTGGGTTAATTTATCATTTTTATTCAGAATTTATTTATATGTGACATATTCTTTTGTTTGTATCAAGTACTATGCGGTGTAAACATTATGTGGTAAGTATAACACATGTACTTTTATAAACTGAATCTCAACTTTTTGCTAAAATTTTTTCTGGAAACTATAAGAAATTTTATGGAAGAATGAGTTAGTTTTTCCCCAAAGGGAAAAAATTATTACTAGGTGATAAACTAACATTCAATGAATTGGTATCAGAGATCTTCAAGATCTAGTTGTATATAAAAGTGAATAATATTCAGACTGCTGGAAGCAGAGGGATCAAATGATTATAATATCACATGAAGAGCACTTGTAAAGTTTTAATGGAAGCACATAAAAGAAATCCCCATTAAGTCTTAGGGAATCAATGGCATTTAAAAATTAAAAATAAAACAAAAGGAATTTACTAGACAGGAAAAGAAGTAGAGCAAACAGCATGGTCAAAGATGCTCAGGAATACTAAAGCAAAACATTTTGGGAAGAGCAAGTTGCCCGGGGAGTGTGACATTTGGAGGCCATGAAGTAGAGTGGTGGGGATATGTTAATAGAGGGGAAAATCAAGATATGAGAAGTGTGCCCTCCATATTAATACATTTGGATAATAATTGGTAAAGAATTGAGAAAATTTCTGGATGACTATGATTTCTTTCCTTGATAAGTGGGAGCATATTTTATGGGAAAAGGTGACAAATAATCTGTTAAACTTGTTAGGTTTCATATTCCTTATTTGAGAAAGAATGACAAGCAAGAGTACTTAGACATGCAGGCCAGTTTCTGGGGAGAGGTGAGACTTAGAGATGTAATTATATTTTTAAAAAATCAGCTTAGAAGTGGCAGGTGAACCATAGACTGGATAGAACCATCTTGGGATAATGGTGAGGGAAATGAGAGTCAAAGGCAGAAATCTGGATTATAATAATCAAGAGGCTGCCATAAGAGTCTGAGAAAGGGAAATCAGATTGGTAGGGCTAACAAAAGAGGTAATCATTTCAGTAGGGAATAAAGGGTACTCTTAATAGAGTCCTTAGGTGTTAGACTGTACTGAGCCCTTTACACACTTTATTTCATGCCACCCCCCCCACAGTCTTTGAAATACTATGTTATGTTCTTAATTTTTAAAATGAGTTGAATGAAGCAGAAAACAGTTAAATATGGTAATGCCACACATATCTAGTAAGTGTTAGCGATGAAGTTGAATCTCTGTTCTGACTGCAGCTCACACTCTTAAATGCCCCTCTGTACCAGAATAGATTGAGAGCTGATAATGCCCAAAGCCAAAAATTAATCAAATGGAAATTAATTAGAAAATGAAATCAAGATTGAAAAAGAAGCCATTAGATTTAGTAGTTAGTAAGAGCAAGTTCGATGTATTAGAATGAGGAATCAATTAAATCTTGGGGAATTTATGGAAAAATATTTTTTAAATGTAACTTAGAGGTAAGAGGGTTACAAAGAAATTATAAGACAAAGATGATAGGCAGCAATGATCTGTATAGTTAGACAAACTGAACAATAATGGACAAGTTACTTAATATTTCAGTATCAGTTTTCTCCTCTCTGAAATGTAAATAATCCTCAATTTGTTTTGGATGGGTAAATTGAGCAACATACATAAAATCTGTCACTATGAGCATTGGATAATAGAAGTTTAAATAACATTTGCAATCCCCTCACGTGTGATTTTACTCAGTTCTGCTTTTGAAGAATGAGAAGGATAGAACCCAGACCGCAGTATGCCTATGTTGAGGAGCAGTAGAGAATACGGTAGTGGAGATACGAATGTAGACTATTTTGTAGCCTTTGACTGTGCAAAGAATTGCACTAGGGATGTAGTTGAGTGGGATGATGGGAATTAAAAGAAGAAAAGTTTATAGAATAGAGGGAGAGATAAACTGAAGATGGGAAAGTGGATGGCTCAGTGCCTTCAAAGAGGTGGATAGGATGAAGTTGAATCATATGCCTGCAAAAGATTAGATTTGAGTGAATCCCCTGGTAACTTGTTTCTTTCCCTTCTTTTTAACCTCTTTGAATAACAGGTATTGGGTCATCTTGCAGTGGAAATTATATTAGACCAATTTGTAGAATATCTGAGGCAGGGTCCTCAGGCAAGTCTCAGTGTCTGCTACAGACTAAAGGTTTGTGTCGTCCCCAAATTCATATGTTGATGTTATTTGGAAGTGTGTGTGGGGGCTGAGACTTGGGAGGTAAATAGGTTGGATTAGGCCTTGAGAGTGGGGCCCTCATGATGGGATCAGTGCCTTTATAAAAAGAGGAGGAGACACGGGATCTCCCTCAGTTTGTGACACCAAGGAAAGTCTGTGTGAGGGGAACTGACCATGTTGGTACCTTAATCTCTGACTTCCATCCTCCAGAACCATGAGAAATAAGTTTTTGTTGTTTAAGCCACCTAGTCTATATGATATATTTTTTTTAAGATTTTATTTATTTATTTGAGAGAGAGCGAGAGCATGCTCACATGCAGGAGCAGGGGAGGAGGGGCAGAGAGAGAGAGAGGAAGAGCAGACTCCTGGATGAGCAGGGCTGCTATCCCAGGACCCCAGGACCCTGGGGAACATGACCTGAGCCGAAGGCAGATACTTAACCGACTGAGCCACCCAGGCACCCCTATATGATATTTCATCATAGCAGCTTCAACTGACTGAAACAGTGTCCCAGGGCTTACTTGGTTTACCCATTTGTATAATGAAGCCATTGGACTGAGAATCCTTGAAATCCTTTCCTGTTATTCTGACTTCAGTTCTGACAGTGTCTAAAACAGGTTCTTCTTGAATTTAGTGCTTGGCATCTTTTTCTTTGTTCTTAACCTGAAACTAATCCCTAAACTTTTGGGGGAAAAAAATCACAGAAGGCAGCCTGAGAATGTGTGAGAGTGGTTAGGGAGGGGAACTTTCAGTAGTTAGCCTAGGGAAGCCCAGATGTTTATAGGCTAATTATGTACATATCAGGATCAAAACTTTCACTCTGTTTTCTTCTCTTTCTCTTTCTCCCACCTTGTTTCTTTCTTTCCTTTATTTTGTTAAAATAAAAAGCAAATGGAGACCAGCCTTGAAAATTCCCTGAGCAGACAAAACCAATTTAGTCATACAAACAAAACTTAGGTTAGCTTCTTTTCCAAGACTAACGTGACCTGGGTCATTTCTTGCTTGTGCCTCTGGAAATCATCAGGAAACTTGAACTCTTTTCCAAAATTGATATGAGGGGACCACTAATCAATTCCCTATCATTTAAGAGAATTCTAATACTACAACCAGTCACTGTGAAGAGTAAACCGCCACTGCTTTCTCACTGTATAAGCTGCTTTATAAAAATACGCCCCTGAGCTTCATTCCGTCTTTTGGTCTGAGGGCTCTGGGCTCACAAACTGTCTTTTTGGCGTATGCACAAGGAATGTTTACCAATTACTACTTCAGTAATTCATTGGTTTTACTTCAGCAATTTTTAACTTTTGACACTTTCTTTTCATTCCTTCCTTCCTTTCTTCCTTTTTCCTACCTCTCCCACTTTTCAAAATGAAATTAGTAAATAGAAAAAAATAGCTCTTTTTATTCTCTATATTCAAATAAGATAGCTGGACCATTTTATGGATGAAACATTTTAGATAATTTTGCTTACAGATATTGAATGTTGATTTACTCATGAATTTTTATATTAAAATTTGTCCATTTTTATAAAGAACAGAATAGGAATTCTATAGTATATATCTGATGTGTATTTCTTCACAAGTCGTTTGGAAAATTTGAAGGTCAACATCTCACATGATTTCATGGACCCTTTCCAGCTCTAATTTTATGGTTACTGCCTATTCTTGTAAGAGCACATTCACATACCTTATACTCACATCCCACACAAACCTTAACACATATGCAGTCACACACACACACACACACACACACACAGACTCCCCCAAACACATCCACGAGCACATATACCCACATTTCTGCCAATAGATAAAATAAGAATAAGTAGTAATACAAATTTTCTAACAAAATTAGTTTATGACATTTCTGGAAGACACTGTAAACCAAATGTTTTCAAATATATTTTGATTTGAGGAAGAGTTTTAAAGATTCCCCCTTTTTTTTAAAGAAAAGTGTTGAAATCTCAATGTATTTTAGATTTCCTATCCCATTAGCTTTTTTCCCAATTATTTCTTAGGAAGAAAGTCTTAACATAATAATGATTTCTGTATTGTGCTGGAGAAAAGCGAGGTCTATGATACAGTGCTAATATGATACAGCTGAAATGCTTAATACCATAAGTTTTTCATACCATTTCTTATCACATTAACACAGGGACAGCATTCCTCTCCTGGCCAGCTTAGTCTCCCCATTGCCTCCAACTCCTGGAAATTCATGAATATTTAAAAGTTGTGACAAAGCTCTTGTCGATTCTGTGCTATGGCTCAACAGCTGAAGTTGGCTTTCTTTTTTCTTCCAGAAGCTGGATTCTCTCAAGGAAGATTCTGTCACCTGCAGTGGAGCACAGCACCTGTGAGAAAGGGGTAGGCCTTGCCAGATACTTCTCAGAACACAGGAATGAGGACTCTCTGATAGCAATCTGTTGTCATCCAATTGACTACACAGGACCAATGGGCTACAGGCAACACGTCTACCATGTCAGCAGCAAAAGGGGAGGTATGTATGTCCGTAGAGTTTTCTGTTTCTTCATTGCCAAGCTGCTTGCCAACTTGCTTGCGGTTACCAATGTAGCAATTTGACAGTTTACTGTTGATTCCCTTTAAGCTGATAGTTTTGCATAAGTACTTTGCATAGGCACTAAGGCATTTGAGAGAGAGCGAGAGCATGCTCACATGCAGGAGCAGGGGAGGAGGGGCAGAGAGAGAGAGGACAGTTGAAAAAAGAACAAAGAAAAAGATGCCAATTTAATTGGATGGTTTATTTCACAAATTCAACATTTGCCTAACCAGTAAATTAGAATGTTAAAAAGTGGAAGTAGAGTTATATATTATGAAACCCCCTTAACTATCAGCCTCAGCCAACCATGTACTTTTGACTGTCTGAAACTCAAGAGATAAGAGGGTCGTTGGGGAGGAGAGGAGAAAGAGAACTCACAGCCACCTGGATAAGCTATTGTAAATCCACTCGATAAAATGGTGAAGTTACCTTATTCTCAATCCTTCATATTACTTTTTGTTTTCAAGAAAAACAACTACTTATTTTAAGGATGGGATTATATACTTGCAGTTATTAATAACTTTTTTTTTACAAATATAAAGTTTGCTATATAAAAAAGTTCAGGAATAATTTTCTATTTAGTTTGAGATACATTTATTAGTATTCAAGGTATGAATTTGTTTACTTTGATAATTTTTAGTACTGAATTAATAGTGATTATTTGGGATCACTTGGCTTTTCTATGTGTAAATGACTTATAAATGGGGAATTTTGTCACCATTTCTTGACATTAGCATATATTTTTTTAAAGATTTATGTATTTATTTAAGAGAGAGAGAGAGGGAGGGAGGGGTAGAGGGGGAGGGAGAGAGAGACTCTCAAGCAGACTCCCTGCTGAGCACCAAGCTTGATACCAGGCTCCATCTCAAGACCCTGAGATCATGACCTGAGCTGAAATCAAGAGTCGGACGCTTAACCAATTTGCCATCCAGGCACCCCTGCCATTAGCATATTCTTATATTTTATTTCAAATAAAACAGCAGCAATATAGTATCATCAGAAAAGAACTATCAAGAGAAATGAGAGAAAAAAACAAAAGTTACATCACATCAATGTTTTCCATTTCTCTTTAAATAAAAATTCTATAAGCTATGTAGCCGTTATTAAAAGAAAAAAATTTTAGAAAAGCAACTGAAATGCTAACAATAACACTTTTAATCTGTCCAAATTTTTAGGAAAGGATAAAAATCCGGATATTTAAATGTAGCACTACAAGTCACCTTTACCCTGTGGACATTTGTTTATATAGACCAAACAGCTATGAAACTGAGCTGTGTTTTTGGCACTTTAAGGGACAAAGACATAAGAGCCAAAAACCAGGTTTATGCACAAGACAGAGTCTGATACCCTTCCCCATCTTAAGCTGAGAACTGATTGGCTATAATTTCATGGCAAAACTAACTGGAATTATTAGGACTTCATCAATAATTCAGTTTAGTGTTCTGGCTCCTGAATGGTCCAGTGAACTTCACATGTATAATTGGACTAAATATTTCCTGGAAATATAGTGCCCTTAGGATTCCAGATGAAGCTAATGAAATTTTTTCCTGGGAAAAAGATCTGCTAACCCAGACCTCAAATTACCCCATAAATTAATTTTCACACAGTGTTCAAGTTATAGCCTAAAATAACTAGACACACAATAAGACACAATAAATAAAAATCAGTGAAAAACAAAACAAAACAAAAAATAGCACAAAAACTTGAGATATTGAAATTATCAGACACAGGTTATAAAATAACCAACTTTAAAAGACATGGGGGAAAATCTTGAAAATAATTACAGAGAGCAAGAAACTATAAAAAGTAAAATGCTGATTTGGAAAAGAATCAAATAGAAACTCTGAAAGTGAAAAACACAAAAATTAAAATTAAAAACTATAGATTAAACACAACTAAATGAAGCTTATTAATCAGAATTATTAAAGAATATAGAGAAGATATGGAAAATACAAAATAGAAAATAGGCATTGAGGATACTATAAAAATTATAGTAATCTATTACTTATATCTTCTGTAATATATATTTACAATAGAATGAGAAAACTTTGATTTTTTTAAAGATTTTTTTATTTATTTGAGAGAGAGGGTGGGTAGGAGCAGAGGTTGAGAGAGAGGGTCAAGCAGACTCCGCACTGAGCATGGAGCCCGACATGGGGCTCAATCCCAGGACCCTGAGATGATGACCTGAGCTGAAACCAAGAGTCAGACGCTTAACTGACTGAGCCACCCAGGTGCCCCAGAAAACTTTGATTAAAAAAAAAAAATCTAACCTGGAATATTATGCCCAATGAATATATATTTCAAAATCACTTTCAAAATACACATTTTCAAGCACATGGGTGGCTCAGCTGGTTAAACATCTGCCTTCACCTCAGATCATGATCCCAGGGTCCTGGGATCGAGCCCTGAGTCAGGCTCCCTGCTCAATGGGGAGCCTGCTTCTCCCTCTGCCTCTGCCCTTCCCCCTGCTTGTGCTCTTTCTTTCAAATAAATAAATAAAATCTTCAAAATACACATTTTCAAAGAAATATAAACATACAATTCACCACCCAGAGAAGTACACTAAAGTAAATTATAAAGGATATATGTTAGTGTAAAGCAAAGTGATCCAAAATGGAAGATTTGAGGATAGGAAAGAATGAAGAGCCAAAACAGTGGGGTAAATATTTGCAGAAGGGAGAACAAATGAGCGTTAATTGTCTAAAACCAGCAAACAAATAAGAAAAAAGACCCAAAACAAGAAAATGTTTTGGATTATAAAATAGAGAATTAAAACAAATACAGAAATAGTACATAAACTGACAGAGAATAAACTATTCCGGTAATTTAAAGTAATTAATTTATCAAGTAAGAGAGCAAAAGTTTTGATTCAAGTTACATTTGGTAAGTAGAGAACGCATGTTGCAATCCAGATGAACCAATACAGAAGACCTGATTTTCAAATCAAACTCCTAACCCTTATCAAGTTTTACTATTAATTTCAAGAATAGACTCTGAGAAACAAAGTGAGAGTTCTAGAGGGGAGGGGGGTGGGGGTTGGGTTAGCCTGGTAATGGGTATTAAAGAGGGCACGTACTGCATGGAGCACTGGGTGTTATACGCAAACAATGAATCATGGAACACTACATCAAAAACTAATGATGTAATGTATGGTGATTAACATAACATAAAAAAAATGAATAGAGGTGATAAAGAGGATCTGCAGAGCAGGTATGGGCATTGAGGTAGCTACTCAAGTCTTTCCTTCTCTTAAGGGATATCCAGTCTCTGGTCCAGACTGGAAGTCATTTCTAAGTGAGGTACATAAATTATCACCTCACACAACTGGGAGGGTTCATTCATGTCCATTTCATACTTCCAGTTTACATGATGTATTCTTAGAGAAAAATGCTTCATAAATTTATGGATTCTAAAAGGCTTATTACTATAAGTAATCCTTTAGCCTCAAATTCCTCTTTAAAACATTCCATAAAGATTTACCTCCTAGAAAATATCATTAATCTGTTTACCGAGAATACCAGTAGTCATGTTTATCAGGAAATTAGGCCAGGTCACCTGCCTTGTTTTCTTTCCCCTGGGTACATCCTTCCTGTAATCTGGAAAGGAATGAATTAGAGGTTAGCTGTTTAACTCCTTCCTTTCCACTATGGTAACCAATGAAAGAAGCAAAATATGTTAACTCTCGTATTGGTACAAAAGACAAAGTGGAATGGTAACAGAATAATCATTTAATTCTACAGAAGGCAAAAACAGGACAAATAGAAAGCATAAAATAAGATGATAGAATTAAATGTAAATATTGCAGTAATCATATGTTAATGTACAAGTATGTTTGAATTCAAAGATGATAATTATTTGATAAAAAATAAAATCCAGTCATAAGTTGTTTGTGATAAATCTGAAATAGAGTAATATAAAAAGGATTAATGTAACATTTACATTCAGATAGGCATGTAAATACCAACCAAAAGAAAGCAGTTTTTTTTTTAAAGATTTTATTTATTTATTTGAGACATAGAGAATGAGAGGGAGAGAGCACATGAGAGGGGGGAGGGTCAGAGGGAGAAGCAGACTCCCTGCCGAGCAGGGAGCCGGATGCGGGACTCGATCCAGGGACTCCAGGATCATGACCTGAGCCGAAGGCAGTCGCTTAACCAACTGAGCCACCCAGGCGCCCCCAAAAGAAAGCAATTTTAAGTACATTGATGACATTCAAAATATACTTTGTTGCAAAAAGCATTATTAGAAATAAAAGTTACTTCAAAATGATAAAAAGATTCAATTCACCAGGAAATTGTGCTATTTTAATTTGTCTCAATAATCTTCTTAAATTATGTAAAGCAATTAAAATAAATCCATAATCACAGTGGTTGATTTTATTTGTTTATTTGTTTACTTATTTATTGTCATCTATATCAGTTAGGGATTCATTTATTCAACAAAAATTGTTCAGTGCCTGTTGTGTACCAAGAACTATTTTTTCCAGCTTTATTGAGGTATAATTGACAAATACAATTGTAATATTTTATAAAGTGTACAATGTGGTGATTTCATATACTTTCTACTTTATGAAATGATTACCCCAATCAAGCTAATTAATATATTCATCACATTACATAGTTATCATTTTGTGTGTGTGTGGTGAGAACACTTAAGATTTACTCTCTTAGAAAATTTCAAATATACATTATTATTAACTGTAGTTACCACATTGTGCATTAGGTCTCCAGAACTTATTCTTTTTAAAACTTAAAAAAGTTTGTACCTTTTGGCCAACATCTCCCCTTTTCTCCCAGCCTCCAACCCCCAGTTACCAAATGTTCTATATTCTGTTTCTTTGAGTTCAACTTTTTAAAAAAAATAGGTTTCCCCATGTAAGGGATGCCATACAGTATTTGCCTTTCTCTTTCTGGTTTATTTTACTTACATAACGCCCT